TTCAGACGTGTGCTCTTCCGATCTGTTGAGCCATCAAAATAATTTTGTTGAAAAGTCAAAAATAATAAGCATTTTTAATTTTTCAACAAAATTATTTTGATATTCTAGCAATTAGTTTGATTTTCTAACAAAATTATTTTGATTGTATAATAAAAATTATTTTCAGATCTGAATCCAGCAAAATCGCTCTTCTTTCCGTTTACAAATAAATTTAAAACAACTTCAAGTATAATAATTGAACGCAGAGAAAGGATTAACTAATGCAGCTAAAATAAGTGATATAATGGCAGCTAATGTATGTCTTTAAAATAGGGACAGCTAATATCGTTACTGCCAAAGCTAAATTTATTAATAAGTACCACGTTTATTTACTTTTAATGCCCAATTATTATACTTAAAGTTGTTTTAAATTGAAGAGTTTTATATATTATATGTTAATTTTGCAAATAAATTTGAAATTTGTTTATATTTCTAATTAATATCCAAAGTTAATCAGCAACTACTTGAAGAGAACTGAAGTACGAGAGGCGGAATTAAAGTAATTTGATGTGATTGATGTAAATAATAATTTGTTTATATTATATCGACATTTGAGTTTTAGACTGCGTTCGGGAAGCGCGCTATCAGCGCTATTACATTTTTTTATCTTTACTGTTAATTAGATGTGATAAAACAAAATGCAATACTGCAAATGTCGGTAGGAGCGATCTCCGAACGCAGTCTCTTAGGTGACTTACAAAAGAAAAGACAATTTCATTTTTTTTTCTGTTTATACTATTTTTTAGACCATGTCGGCGTACAAGTTAACATACTTTAACATTGGATGCGTTGGGGAGCCAATTAGATACCTGTTAAACCATTGCGACGTCAAATTCGAAGATATTAGACTCAATTTGGAAGAGTGGCCGATGTACAAAGCAAGTATGTTATTTCTATTGCAATTTTCCAGAGATTATGAATCGAATGAACTCTTTGCCTTTAATTGCTTCTCTGTTTATTGACTTATAATATAAAAATTATTTTGTAATCTCTCATTTCAAGTTCGTCATTCCCTGTATTAATTATACTTTTAATTTCTATCATAAACATGTTCGCGCAATAAACATTATTCAACGATCATTTAATAGTAGAATAGCCACTTTTGTATCTACAAACCGTAGACATGCCCATGGGACAACTGCCGATTCTGAAGATAGATGACAAGACGTACCATCAGTCCAGAGCTATCGCCCGCTTTATCGCTAAGAAGTATAATTTATACGGGTCCGACGAGCTCGAGGCTATGGAGATTGATGCTACAATCGATTCTATCGAGGATATGAGACAAGGTAAGTGCCGGTGATCAGTGAACACGGGAGAATGACCGGTTGGTAATTATGTAATCGAAAACAGGTATAGAATTTTTTTCAATACCTCCACGCTGACGGGAAATCTGATTAATCGATATAATGTAATTGCACGGTATGCACGTACAAGTCGATTTTAGTGTTGCTGCCACAAGATACGTCGTATTGTAGAAGAGCGGAAGCTATTTAGAATCAACGATCCGTGCGCTTCATGAACGATTGTCGCGCGCTGTATATCGCTCTTTTCGCAATATATAGCGCAGATGACAGCGCTCTTCGCCTCTCTGTGCGACGCAAAAGCTTCAAATCAGATTATTATTTTCGTAGCTCTGTCCGTCTACTACTGGGAACAGGATCCGGTTTTTAAAGAAAAATTCAAGGAGATCGCCTTCCAAAAACTGCCATTCTACCTCGATACGCTCGAGGTTCAAGTCAAGAATAACGGCGGATACTTCGTCAATGGCAAAGTAATGATCGATTGCGCGTCAAACTATAATGCTTGTCTTGTCAATTTTATCTTTACGAAAGTCCGAAAATACATTTTTATTATTTTAGCTGTCGTGGCCGGATTTCATGTGGGCCGCATTTTCTGAACGTCTAAGCTTTATCCTGACCAGGGACGTGAATCATGATCATCCAGAATTGAAGAAGCTAGTGGAAAAGATTCGCATCTTGCCCAACGTTAAAGCTTACATCGAGATGCAACTCAAAATTTAATAGTACGTAAAACAATTTTGCACCTTTTTTATTTTTATTTTTTTTATTATTCGATATCATTCTTATCGTCGATATCATTTTTATCGATATTTTATCGACATTATTCTTTATTAAGCTTTTTCGACAGAAATGTTTCGTGAAAATCGACCATTTTATTTGTACCCTAACATTATTTAACATTATATAACATTATTTGTTGCTGTGTAATAAATGTAAAGAACATTTTTCTGTATCGATAAAATTGTCTGCTTATCGATAAGAATTTCTTACCTCTTTTTAGAATAAATTATTTTTATAAGGGGCTTAAATATTTAAAGTAATCTACAAAATATTATGACTTTTTGATATGAAGTTTCTGAAATGATAAAAATTGATAATGTACATACGTGCATTTGCTATTCTAAAAGTACGGTTCTGAAACGGATGATTATTACATATTTATTTAGCAAATTATATGCATTGTATTGTATACACAGCTATCATTTATGTAAACGGATTCATTGAGGCGCATTTATAATCTCTATAAAATAAAGCTAGAAATGTTAACTATCATCAGAGTAATATACATACAAAAATAAATGCTGAAATTAATTTGAAATTACGCATATATGTACAATAAGTACTTATACCGATCGTATCTAGATTTTCGAGTATTTTCAGTCACGGAGACACTTCTCAATGCGATTTTACTAACGGTGTTCCTTGAAAAAATATTGCACTTCTAGTCTGAATAATTTTATAATTTAAATTTTTTAATATTTTCTATAATTGACGAACAAGCAAGCTTAAAAAGAAATTATTGTATAAATTGCTAAAAAAATTATAGATTTTAAAAAAAATCATACTTTTCATTGATAACGTCGAAGTAATTTTGTGCAAATTGGCACTTTTTCTACGTTTCGAGATAACAAAAATAAATAAGTTACGCAGGCGTTACAAATTCTGTATAAGTCTTTGATTGCGATTAACGTTAAAGTCGTTGTGCAATTCGCTTTTATCACAAAATATATGTAAATACCAACGACAGACAGAAAACAAGGAGCTAGCTTGTGCTAGTCTTGACAGAACGTTCCCTTTTCACATATAACGTTATCTTATGAACAAGAATATCATTATAATCACTATAATATTCACTATGTATTCTTAGGAACGCTGAAACTGCGCTGTAAATTTTCTCTCGCGTTTGCAGAGAAGACTAGCGTTATTAACAGCCATGCTATGGAGAAGTATAATATATTCGCATACATACGTACTTTAGAGAGATATCAAACATCCACGCGTGCTTCACATCCTGTGTCCGTGTTAGAATCTCTAGCTCGTCTCTTGCGCGTGAGATTAACACACATAAGCGTTCCTTTCAGTCCACAAACCGCAGCCGACGATTCTAATATCGTTTCTCTACGTTATCGTTTAGTTTCCACATACTTTGTATATTTTCTCGCGAGCGAAATGATCAGGTTGGATCAGCTCCTGTCTCCTCTTGCGGCAATAACTCTTTGTGAAACTGCAGTCACCTTCGATGTATGTTCCATGCCGATTCATCTCGATGACGCAACTGCGCGCCGTTCGGGGCACGCAGCTAAATCTATCGAGATTTGCCTCAAAATTTCCCTCGAGATTACGGCCCTCCCTCGGAATTAGAAGTTTGTACAAACCTGCGGGTTTCCACAACCAAAGGGTTTCTGATTTGTGCTCGAAACGTCTAACTCGAAAGGCGGCGTTCTCCCGCGATAATCGGACGTCAGGTGACGAGTTCGAAGTTTAACTCGCCCATGTAAGGCGCCAACTCCGTTGTTCTGGTGAACTCGGTCTCGTCGAGGTCCTGAAGGCTGGAGTTGCTGATCGTATTGGCGCTCTCGATGCTCGGATGACTCTGAAATCGTAGTGGCACCGCGACGACGTTTTCCAGTTTGGTCGGGCTGACCGGTGAATTTTTTCGGCGCTGCGTGAAAAATCCTTTTGTGCCAAGGCCCAGTCTCTCCGTAAGAATTCCTGCTAGAAATATAATAAAGGGTTAGAAATATTTTTTCCGTTCTGTCGGATTATACAAATAAGAATTAATGCGCGAAAAGGTAAAAGCAAAAGTAGTTTCTATTTTTTTTAAACGCATATACATTCCCTATATAAATATAAATAAACTTTTTTTTAATTTAAAATAAATTTGCTCCTGTGACGTTCTCGTTATAGAAGAATACATGTGTGTATAAAAATTATAATATATTTAAAAATATATTATATTATAATTCACATTTTTTATAATTTATAATTATTTTGTGTAATACTTTTTACGTACTTTTGTAAAAAAGATGTAGATACTTTAACTACAATATAACAAGAGTCTATTTAGTTAATTTCAAAATGATAAGTGTGTGTTTATCGCCTCAAAGGTAACATTTATGTCTATTTGATGTTTTTAATATGTATTATACTTATTATATTTTTCAAGACACGCATTTTGATAAGACAAAATAAAAATATTTTAAACATTATAATCCTCACGAAATAATGTTTTATATATGCGTAATTACGCAAATTTTATATATATGTGTAACGCATCGTGCAGACATGTCTCTTTCCCCAATTAATTCGGTAAATTTAAAAAACTCCACACCATTGATTTAACCATCGTTGATTAAGTATAGCTTACAGGAATAATTAATGTCGCGGAGACACCTAAATAGACGCTACCTAAAGTTACGGCTTTTGGTGATTTTTGGATCAGTAGACACTCTTTCGCATTGTTGTTGCCCTCGTTCAGGCCCTGCTTGCTTAATGATGTCATGGTAAATTGACTGCTGTTGGAGTCCCTGGACACTCTTCTGGTATAATCTCGGCAGCCGATGGTTTCTCTGATCGCAGGCCGCTCTTTCTGCGGCCTCGCGAGTCCGTTCGGCTCGCAGGAATTCGCGTTCGCCAATGCCATATGCGTTAATCGTTGCTGTTCGTCGCTGACGGATATCGAGGGCGAGTGCTGGGGATCGTCGAATCGATGCTTCATTGACTTCTGATACCGCGACAAGCTGCTGTAAGTCGCCTGTCGGCGGTTGACCTTGCGAGACGAGAACTTCCTGATGCAATACTTGGGCAGCATCGACTGCAAGAAAGGATAAAGTAAAATTAGCGAAGGATTTTGTGTCTTGTAAATATTTATTCTGATCATAACTGATGCTTATCGATAATGATAATCCGAGAAAACGAAATTTATAGTTGAATCAATAGAATCTCAATTAAAGCTAAAAGATATTATTTATTGTGTAAATGTAACAAATGCGAGAAGTGTGATAAAAATATTACTATTAATATTATATCTTAATACATTTTAATATAAAATATGAAAAATATTAGAACGTATTAAGATATAATTACATTTATATTAGCTATAATAACTATATGTATGAGACAAAACTAATTTTTAATTGTCTGCACATAAAATTTATTCTTCTATTTTTTGCAAGTATATATAAATGTTTCATAAACCGGCTCATCGGTTAGAATCGCCAGTAGAAAATGAAGCGATTAAATCCGATTCACCGAAGCAATTTACCTTGAAAGCCTCTCTAAACTTGTTAGACATGATATTGTAGAGGAGCGGATTCACCGTGGTCGATAAATAGTAGAACACTCCGGACACATACGTGAGGTAGGTGTAGACTATAATCATGGTATCAGCGTCTGAGCTGTGCTGAGCGTATACGGCCAGCAGCCTCTGAGCGTGAAACGGCGCCCAGCAGATGAAAAAGGCCACCACCACCGCGACTGTAAAGATAATAATGACGTCTTGTTGCGTTGGAAAGTAAAATAAAATTAACCCGTAATCTAATTAAGAATATCTTGGGAACAAGTATTTTATATAGAAATGAGTATTCTTCGTTTCTAGATTACAAACAGCTGAAGGATATGTGCGTCAATATAAAAATTGTAAGTGATTTCTTAGAGTTAATAGAATAAAGAATTAGCCATTTACGAGGATGAGGTGCAGCGAACAAATCCGTTTCGACCCGCAATGATTCTCGCAATGTATCGAGGAAAACATACAGACAAGTAAGACAGTCATTGTGAAGGCCATTTGCCTTCATTTAGCGCTACTTCAAGTCACGTATCGCGATTTCATTACTTCGTACTTACCTAGAAAATGAACTTTTATTACATTGCACTGTCCACACTGCTGTAGAGCATTACAGTCTTCGAGAGATAAGACGATCAATCTTTATAGATTGACAAATTCGAAAAATCGATTCTACACACACACGGAAAAAAAAAACTACTGCAATATTACTTTAGAGGGAGAGATGTAATGTCTGTTTAAAAATCTTTTAGGAATTAAGGCTATGAAAAAAAAACTCGAAAGGTACTCAAGTAACCGTGAAGATTCTAACAGAATTCAGTCGACTACATGAAGACGTTTGCGAACATGAGTGAGATTAATGGACCTCTTTGTAACTAATGCTGTAATGATGAATGATCATTAAGGCTTTGTAATCTGCAGTAATTAACCGACGCTAACCAAACATAATGGGAGCTTAGAAATATTAGAAGGAGAAGATATATTTTTCTCTCTTTTCTCGTAAGTATTATATTATATTTCACGCGCGATATTACGTCTGTAACTGAGAAGCAAAAACGAAGAGATCTAAATCTTCTTGGCATGGCTCTGCAATTTCGCAGGCGTATTCTTGAGAAAGATTTTTAAAAAGACTTTAAGAAATGCTTTAGACGAGGTAACTTGTGAGATATATATATATCTAAAATAAAGTGAATGATGACAGGCGTGACAAGTGTTAAGGACACTTTCGCTGTAGCGAATATTTTATATTGAAACTAAATTTGGCAAGGGGATGGTAAAAATGATACAAAAAGAGCAGCCTCACCCTTTGCCTCGCGCGTCCTCGGGAGGGCGGATATTAAAGGATGAAGGATGTGACGCCTCCCCCGAAAAAGCGAATGAGTTATGTAGTATGAAATAATATTTTGAAATCTAACACAAATTTCTGCGAAGAAAAAAAGCTTAAATTATATACTAACAATCAAAAAATATTTACGTACTTTCGAGACTCGACAGATGTAGAAATAACTCAAATCTGATCCTTTTAAGACATTTCGCTAATTTACGGAATTATTTTCATAATTAAATAACAAAATTCATTATTCAAAAACTCCTTCCCTTTTTTCCTTATGAAGTAATTGCAATATTTTAATTGTAAAAAAATTTGTAGTAATTAAGTCAGAAATAAATAATCAAAATAATCATAGTTCATTAAAAACAGTTCTAATTAACAAATAAATTTCGCTTTATTTTAAGTTACCTTGGAAAAGAACGAAAAAAGAATGTTAAGAATTGTTAAAGAGCGTTTGCCAGACTTTGAAATATAATGTTTCTAACATTTTATGTAGCATTTGAAAACTTTAGAAACTTTCATGAAAAAACTTCCACCTTTTTAATACCTCCGGAGAGACGTAATTTTCTGAAAAAATTCGCGGTAACTAACTCTTTACAATTTGTGAGGTATCGCGACCGTAAATACGCGCTCCCGGTCGACATGTGGGATAGAAAACACAAATGAATCATCGGCGCGTTAATTCGAAACATCGTTTCATCACAGCTTGCCGCAACGGCGGAAAACGTTCGACGATACGGAAATGCGGAGGGATGTGTATTTTTTTTCTTTCGTTTTTTTTTTTTGCAAATAGGACGCTGATTTTATTACCACGCGCATTGTCGACAAACGAGATTCGCCCACACGCTCGACGATACGAAGGTCGACATTTTTATTTCGATTATCGCTTCGGCCGAGGCATCTAGCAGTCGGGAATGAAGACAAGCGATCCCGGTGCGATCGTAAATTCACCAGGGCGAATCGCAACAGTCGGAATAGTTTTTCGTTTTCACATTCGCGAATCTGGCCAACGCCATTGATTCGCGCGTTTGAACACGAGGACACTACCGCAAAGCGACAATGTGTGTCAGTGCGTGACATCTGTTATTAAATACCATTTATTGCTTCCCGTGTCAATTTAATACAAGTGCATTTGTTTGAATATTTCTGTTGTTGTCACGTATCGTAAATGTTGTACACAGATGTCACATACATCGTGTGTTGCGAGCACACAACTTCATAATGTGAAAATTATTGCAAAAAAGTGACGGACGGTAATTATAATTCATGAAAGCTCGTGCTTTTTTGTTTGATTAATAAACCGTTTTTTTTTATTTTATCGTGCACGCGCGCGATGGATCTCAAAGTTTGCCGCTTCAACATACATGCACGTGATCTCTATCATATAAATGTCAGTAAACGTGCCACGTGCAAATAGGTAGAGTTGTCCGATTATCACCGACAAAATCGCGAGCAACCGTTTCCCTATTCTCGACAGGACAACGATTACACGTGATGTATCTTAATTCTTAATTTTATATATATTTAATATTATTATTAGATTTACATTTTTATAAATATCTGAAAATATGCACAAATTTAATTTAAGATTAATTTAACTGTACTATTATTGTTATTAGAATTAAATTTCAAGATATATATAATATGTTCTAAGTTATATATAAATAGTATTGTAATATGTATCTGTAACAAACTCTTAATTAAATTTCTTAATCTAAACATCTCGAGAATTAGAAGAGACTCAACATAAACATTAATATCTCTTCACGATTTATGAGAGCAGAACGAATTTAGTGTCCCTTACACGTCTCGTTTCGTATCCAATGGATACGATATCATTTGAGAACACTGAGAATTTCATTACGAAGATAACTACCACCCGAATAACTATTCGAAGCCAATCAAATGTATCTCCCCTGCTTTTATCTTCGTGGAACGCAGACGAGTGAGTCTTCGACTTCGATCGGCGCGATAGGAAGAAAGAAAAATACAGGCGCCACGTACAGAAGGCAAACTTTTCTTTTTGTCGGCGAACAAGCATTATCTCTGTGATGAGAGTAAATGAAGGAAGACAGTCTTTAGTGTGCCAAAAAGAGAGATGAAGTAATTTATCGAAATGTGGTCTGACGGAACGGCCTTTTCCCCGGCCGCGACGGCCTGATTGATAAATCGATATGAATAGCAAATAAACGATCATTGCCTACCCCCGATGGTACTTTGCGATATCCAGAAATCGAAGGTAAGAATAGGAAACGTCGTTTAGATATTTTTAGTCGGCACGCGAACCCTCTGTTGCCATCGAGATCATCTGGATAACATAACGATAGTTTCGGACGGGATGTGCGTGGAATCCGGAGCGCTCTATAGATCGAATTCTTATACGAGGGACTATAAGAATGCGATAAACGTGATTTCGGAGCTCACAATGTGTTTTTCCGTGTGTTTTTTCTTTCATTAAGGTCGAGATCGGCGTAGCCCCAATGTGTTTCGATAAGAGAAGCCTAAATAAAGCTTGAGCGTGAGATTTGTGTTACTCGCAAGTTATACACTGCTATTTCGGTCGGTATATTTGAATAATACTCTTGCATAAGAGTTAGACTTACATAAGAGCAAAGAATTTGACCTAACGGTTTCACGCTCACTTTGCTCGACCTTCGCGGGAATCGCTAAGAAAAATTTTCTTTGACGTGATAATTTATGTCGTGTCAGTAAAAGTTAGAAATTTAAAATAGCTTTATATTCTTAACTCACGATATGATTTAAGAAGTAAAGATGCAACGGGAGCTTAAAATGTTCGGCATATCGCGCGCTTATACGCGCGCGCACATAACCCGGATAAATTGCACAACCCGGAAGATCTGCAAACTGCCACAATAGTGCAGAGTAAATTTGGATGCGACCTACGATCACGTGGAAGCTTCGATACTTTGGGGGATTACTCGAGTCTTACGTAAGCCGATTGGTCGGGAAATAGACTGGAATAGCCCTGGTTAGCACGAGTAAAGGATACACAACCGGCCGTTCATCAAAATGCATCGGTGGCTATATGTGTAACAGTGTACATATGCGCGTATCAAGCGATATGTTCTGTATATTTGCCTAGTTATTTACATTAGAGATTCTAGTATGAATAGCAGAATATGCGCAATGTACAAATGTGATTTTAATATATTTCTAAGTTTAAAAATATTCTCATTATAAATCACCGACATCTTAAGTAATTTCTTGTAAAGCGCATATTCACTGGAAGCGTCGACTCGTTGAAATTATAAATTAGCTTTTATTTTTGTCCAATATATCTTTCCCTGACGTTCGCATCACTCAAATTTGTCTCTAGATTCGACGACCTTGAAAGTAAAGTAGAAAAGAAATTCAATAAAGCGACCTGGTCTGAAAGTTCGTCAGGCAGGTCCTCGACTCCGTCGATCGATGCGACCGAAGAATGAAATCGACAAGAATGAAATCGCGCCGTGTGACACCGTGAATGATTAGAAGCGAGAAGAGCACGTCGTTTATCTGTGGCTATTAGGAGGCACGAGCAGAATAATTCTCCGGGGTTTTAGGCGTAAGCCCTCGAACCCGAGGTCGCTCGGCAACGAGGCAAAGAAGATAAGGGGATAACTCACGGAAAACGTCAATAATGATCCGGGTCTTATACACCCTCATATTTCAAATTTCATCGCTACGTTTGAGACGGCTGTTAGAGGCCGATTTGATTCCTTTCTTTTTTAAACTGACGTTAATACTCGCGATCAATTTCCTGGAGATGACGCGCTTCTTTAAGAGAGAAATAACGAAATTGAATAATAAACACATTCGGACATAAATCGGCGAATTATACGTACGTCTTGTTCAATTTAATATCACGCCCGTGTAACAATTCGATTGAAATGAAAAATAAGATTTTAAGATCAATAAGTTTCACTCGCGCTCTTCTAATTTTAAAATAAATCTGTAATGTTAAAACTTGATTTCAATTTTGTTGAGAAGAAATCTTTAAAATCCGTTCAAAAATGTGTCAATATTATTTAAATTTCTAACACCTCGAAATGCCCAAAAATTCGTTTGACGTTGTGATGTTTACTCGATTCAATCCGACTAATGTACGTGTCCGACCTGATATTCCTAAAAATATATGGCTACAATACACCCAGATAGAACACAAAAGTAATAATATCATTATGAAATAATATAATATCGTAACGATAATAATTTGAAATGAGTTATAATTTGATTTGTCACTTATAAGTCACAAATGATGTAAGAATTGACATCGTTATGACATCATTTGCTTCTATTCTCTGCTTGAGTAATCGAGTCCGAAATCACTCGAATGATTTACCGAGACATGGGCACGGCCGGCTTCTAAGATCCTATCGCGTTCAGTGATCTCGTTGATTGTCTTGCTGAAGGAATAGTTCCGGCCTCGAGAGACTTGTCAATGGGTTCTTCCAATGGATGAGTTCGCCGTTCCTATTCGCATCACGAACGAGCCGTGGTATTGTAAGAATGACGCGAAGAGCTATTACGTGTTCGAGGGCAAGACGGAAACAGCGTAGAAATTTTTTTTCCCATCAAGAAATTCTGAAGGCAGTTTGTTAGTAAATCGGTAAACCTACAATAAACGTGTAAAATTATTTTAATCCGAAAAAAATTGAAGATAGTCGAAAGATTTATGTATTATTTCTCTGAAGATAATTTTCTAAATTTTTATTAGTTTCTTTGAGTAGAACTAATTAAAAAAATAATTATTATGAAAAGCAAAAAATTATTTAAATACATAGAAAAAGATAAATTTAAAAAACATGTGCTTATATTTAATGATACATATTTAAGTTTCTATTCGCAAAATTAAAAATATGGTTTTATTAAAAATTTAAAAATAAAAAAGAATTCAGATATTTAGAAAATAAAGTCCACCCATGCAAGATAAATTTCTTACGATTTAAAATTGACATCCAGTCGAATATAGAATACGTAAAGCGACCCGAAGTAAATGCTATGTGAATAAAACGTCATCATTATGAACAGCGTTGACGTCGCGGCGAGAAGAAGTTTATGCGAGGTCATAAAAAGCCGATCAAATGTCCGCAATCCTCCTCCCATCTCTTCTCAGGCAGAATAGAAATTTTTTTATATTTGTGCTTCGATAAAAGATTGATATCATAAATTTCGATTAAAAAAAAATTGCGAAGTTATGCACGTTGATGCGGTAAATCGCATCCCGTCAGAATCGATCGTTCGAGAACCGTTTTTTCTCGACATTATTCGCTCTTTTGGCGGTCCGGTCTGAATTTGGGAATGATATTTATCCTCATTTAGTTCTCATATTTTTCCAAGAAATGAGCACAGCAATGTGCTCGGTTTTGCACCGAGTCTGGTAACGATTACTAGAATTAACAGCGTTGTAATTTCTTTTAATTAAACCACGACTGTTATGCGATGCTTCCAACTGGAAACTGAATTTCGCGCGAAATTATGTATAGCTTTCGAACTCGCCAGGATATTACTCGATATTATATCACAATGTTTTACGAGACATAAGACATACCATTTGAACGACGTTTATGATGACGTAAACTTGTCGAATAATTTGAATTATGATTCTCATATAAAAAGAAATCGGTAAATGATCGTACGATTTTTAGATCACGGAAACTCTCAAAGTTTATGGAAAGCGCACATTTAAAGCGATACTTATATAGATTTATATTTGACGAATAAGCGAAAATTTCGAAATGTTTCTCTCTCTGTCACTGCAGTTGTCTGTTTGCGAAATTACGTACTTGCTTATCAGTCTGCGGCAGGGCACTTGGAACATTCTCCCGGATATCAAATATATTCTTTTCAACAAAGTTCGGATAATTAAGCATGGATTTGAATATTTCACGAGATTGCTGTAGGAATGTCTGGCTAAGCATTCGTAATACGTCAACCTGCTCCGGGCGGCTTAAGTTCATTTGAACTTTTCATGAGAAAGGAACGTCTGGCGTAATACGTTTGAATGTGAAACTATGCGAACTTACTAACTGTGAAGTAGAACATGTAGTAACTCGTTCAATCCGTCAACTAGCAGCATTATTAATGAATTACTCGGTGACATATATTCGGTGATATATATTCATATATTATTATAAAGTTTGTTTTATATATATATATATATATTTAAAAATGTCAAGTATAAAAAGTGAATAAATAAAATATATTTTAATAACGGATTTTTTTCGAGTTTAAAATTTTCCAAGTTTTAATTATGCTTTCAGCACCAAGTTTTAAATTGAAATTCTGTTGAAACTCACTTGAAACTAATTGAAGATTACGATATTATTATCTGTTTGATCTCTTTATTATAGGATATTCTGCGTATCGCAGTTCAAAGTATATTCTTCGTGATAGAGCGATTTAAAAAAATCTTCCTGTAAATTTTTCCGAGAATTACGAGCTTCATTGTGACATCGATCATTATTCGGCGAAGTCGCTGACACAATTCAACGTAAGAGTCTTTAATGGCTTCGCGAGTTACCCCGCTCAGAAACGAAATAAACCCGATTTCAATCATCTCAAACCGCGTTCTAAGGATGCTCGACAGCAAGCTGTAATTTCCGACGATCAAAGCGACCGCATCCGCTTACCGAGCATGCGAATAACGTTCCTCTGAGCATTCGTCTTCCCTCTGCTGCTGTCCGCGTGATTCAACACACCGGGAACGTGATGCCTTTTACTGACGGTGGTCGTGAGTAGGCTCGAGTGTCGCAGCTTGATGGCGATCAGCACGTACAGCACGGTGATGATCGTCATCGGCAGCACGAAGAATAGGATGGTCGAGATCTCGAAAGCGTGCTCGATCAGCGTCCAGCGCAGCGAACAGCTGGCGCTGTCCAGGACGGCGGTGCCGTTGTCGTAGTCGACGTAGACGATGCCGAACTGGATGGCCTGCGGTATTGCGAGGCAGAGGGCCAGCACCCAGATCGCCACCACGAACTTCACTGCCCGTGACAGTTTTGACATTGTGTGCGAGATGAAGGGATGACAGATCGCCACGTACCTGCGGAGAAGAAAAAAAAACTATTAAAAGAAGGGCCGAACGTTTTTGTTTCCGAGGAGATTGAAACGACGGCTCTGTCGCGCGCGGGTGTTCGGATTATCGATGTTCACACACAATCCGAAATCGCAGCTAGAATCGGCGCGGCGGGCACTCTGGCGCCAGCTTTTCTTCATATTTTATTTTATCGATCTCCATACCACAGGCTGGAACTATAGATATTTCGGTTGAAATGCGTGTTATATCGCACGTGATTCGCGAAAAAAGAGAGAAAAAAACGTGATACTCGGGATACCGATATAGATATAAAAACCAAATGATTGGCAGGGTATGGATGTGGCATCGGCGAGTGTCATATATATTCATGACATTCTATGCCAGTCAGATTTGATGTATGCGCGACATAAAATTTCTAAGGCTCACCTCTCGATGGTGAAGGCCGTGATGGTGAGAACGGTGGCGTTGGTCGAGGTCTCCGAGGCGAAGCTCTGGATAATGCAGAACGCCTCGCCGAAGATGTACGGGAAGCGCGACCACATCTGATACATCTCCGGCGGCAATCCGAACACGAGCAGCAGCAGGTCGGACACCGCGAGGCTGAAGAGGTAGTAATTGGTGGCGGTGTGCATGGACTTGTTGCGAGCGATCACCACGCACGTGGAGATGTTGCCGATCAGGCCGGTGAAGAAGATCACGACGTAGATCACCGTGATCGGCAGCACGATGTACAGGGAGTCCCGGCGGTCCATCGGCTCGTCATTGAGCATGGCGACGATCGTGCTCGACAAGTTCTCGTGTCGCGAACTCGCGGCGTAGACGACCGTGGACGGCAGCCCCTGCAGATCCCCGTCTGTCGAGAGCCTCCAGGAATCCTCCGTATCCTGAAGGATCCTGGTGATGTTCGCTGTCATATCCGAAATCATTCTGCTTCCTTTATTCGTATTCGGCGAGGTATACGGCGTGGAATCTCGCGACCGTAGTAAGCAGAATAATTTAGCAGAATATTTGGGAAGCCTTCGTGGCTGAATTTTAAATCGGCAGCTCGAACGAGCAAGTATCTCTGCGCTGCGAGTGTCTCTTCTGCCTGTATTTTCGCTGCTTAATTTCGTCCATAAGTATTCCAGACTATCGCCGATAGCTGTCGCGAGATAGCGATGATTTATATATTCTACGAAATGCAGTTACGATGTACGATATCTTCTCCGGTTACTATTGACGTGAGTACTATTGAGTGAAATATCCGCCGTTGAAATATCGGATTTCGGTTTACATCTTGATCTCTGTCGGAGGCGTTAATTTTTCCACGAGTCGGAATAGGTTCTCGCGATAAGATTCTTCCTGTTTATCTCCGTGTTGACCTGAAATTGCAAATTTTACTTCAAATTTTTCCACGACTTTTAAAGGCAGCGTTTCGGAAGGACGAACATCTGGGCGATACGATCACCGTCAATCGGGTAATTAAATTTCGAATGCGATATTATCGCGTTCTCGATCTTCCGCATTTGTGTAATAATGATATATTATGGATGATATTACGGCTGACGTTACGGATGGCTAGCAGTTCCCATCATCCGCCGATTAACGAGACGACATTCCTCCCCGACGCGACGCGACGCTTCGATTAATTTCGGTCAATTTGCGCGAGAATTGAAGGGCCGCCTGTAAATTCCTCAATTAGACCGACGTGCAATATTGTCCCCCCCTCCCCTCCCCCCTCACCGCCACATTTTGCGATCGATGTGGGCTCCAGTGAAAAATTTTTGTCAGCGCATTTAACGCAATTTCTAATCGTTTGATATACCGAGCATCAAGCCGGTTCGCCACGCGCATCTCATTTTGCGGCTCGACCAATTATCCATGTCCATTACGCTAATTATACAATGAATCCCAATGTAGCCGCTGACGCGGCTACATCTGCCTGTGGCGTTGCTGCGTGCACGCGTTATAACAGTTTCATTCATTACGTCGACGGAAGCGGCGGCAGATCCGCTCTATACGTTACGCGAACGTTGCCTTTCGCACAATGATATCGTTATCGCGTAGAATTATTCACGAAATCCGCCGCTAACGAGGGGTAGACGTCTTCAAAAAGATCTTAACGTGCGATATGATTTTCAGCGGTACATATGATATCCCTGCTAGTTAACAAATATCCGCTTTCCACATTGTCACCATTGTATTAACTGTTCTGACAAGGGTATCACCTTTCAAATATATACGCTGACCTTTTAGCATCGCCTTTATCCTCCTAGTCCATTTTTCAGACATCATAAACACATTGCGGCCTATTCAATCTTCGAAATATCGCGTTTCCCTAAGTACGACAAATCGATATGATAACACAACAGGAGAAATATGAGAATCCTTATTTATAGTAATAAAATCGCGGGCAATCAAGTGCAAAAGTGGTCTGATGTAAATCAATATTTTTTGGATGTTATTACAACTTTTTATATGTTAGATTTTTACATAGCATCTATGAATTTTTAACACTAGAACTACTTTAACAATTAATTTCTGTTATTTAAATATATTATATATATGAATTATTATTATTATTAAAATAAATATATATTATACTTATATATTATATATATTATATTTATATATTATATTAAAAAATATATATATTATAATATATTTTTATATGTAGGTATATATATATATTTTTTAAAAGATAATAAAATAATCAATTTAATATTCACATATATTGCAGCAAAAATCATGAAAAATCTCAAAAATGCACTGCTATTAATTTGAATAATTTTCTTTAAATTACAAAATAGTCATGTTAATCGTTTGATATATTCAATGTTAAGTTAAATTAATGTACCAGCTACATTTCCGATAACAATAGCATAATCACTTTTCTTTTAATACCGTCCTTCAAAATATATATTTATTTAAATAACCCTATCGATGCCGAATAATCTCGACTTCATTCACAAGCCACGTGAGCTACAGATGCAATCGGCAACTGTGCTTGTCACTTCGACAAAGGAGACTAGATATTTTGGCACCTTCCAAAAGCCAGAAATCGCGCATGGCACACCACTTTGCATCCTCGACGGAGTCCTGAACTCATTCTGTCTCGTCACGTCCGCGAACATTGTTTGCGCGCGCGAACATCTCCACGCTTGTCGCCTTCACGTTGATGCTGTCATCGGCGATACCGCCGGTGCTCTCGTAAACGCCGTTCATCGGACAGAACGGAAACACATGTCGCTATTTTCGACGCGGATCGTGCTCCCGACTGACATTTGCAACATTGTCTAATTGTCCCCAATGAATCGTTAACTCCTTCATCGTCAGATACTATCCGGAAACCGCAGCGCGCGAGAAACAAGAAATTCTCTGATTCGTCTAGCTTGCACGTTCCGTCGTTTTGTACAATTTTCGACGCGAATGATTTCTCTTGGGTGATTTGTCTGCTGTATTTCGAGGTACCTCGTTAACAAACTTCCCAACATGTACTTTAAACACACAGCTGTCGGTTATTATTACGTTCTGCAACTCTTCGTCTAACTCTTATTTATAATGTAACAAATCCGATTTTTTGTACCATAATTTTAAACCGCGCGATCTTTAATTCTGCTCTAGCTGTTGCGTTGACATGTCTAAACGCAAGAGGAATAATATCAGCTAGAATAATTTACATTTTAATAACAGAAAGCTATGATTGGATTACAAATAACGCAGGTACGAACTGACCTATTTGCATCGCATTAAATTTTAATGGAAAGTTCCGCAATGAACGCATAGCTTATTTATTTTAAACAAAATTTTCGAAAATCTCTTCCACATGCTTTATTCAAATGCCTCTTAGCGAACACGTGCTGTTTTCCGTGTTCTCAAGCTTTCCGAGGTTGCAGAAATGCCTCCTCCGTTTTGTTTTGACTAACGTTTCCGCTCGTTAATTCAACAGCAACTTGACACGAATTTTCAGAACGTTGACTTGTCGGTCGGTCAGTAGATCACGGTCACACTCTGTCAAGCTGTAAAGTTTTAGAAACACGCCTCGCAACTTGTTCGTCTCGTAGTCGTTAGTATTTGTTACCCTATTCTCACTTGAGTTTTATTTACGATACAGCGCGCGTGTACGAGCCTTTTAAAATGTGTGACAGCGAAAAATCGCTTATACTAATTATTTCGCGAGGCATTTTACGACGTATCTCGATTGCGATAAATAAACGCGTGTAATCGTGAATCCCGCTACGTCGATTAAGCTCTTGAAATCCGAATTGCAGATCAGGTTCATTCGTTTACGTTTCATTATCGAATCGATATTAGCCAATTCCGCAAAAGCTTATTGTGCGCGTTCGTTCGCGCGATGTGTGCGAATGACGCTTCACTCGCGTGACTTTTGCCGATAAAAGATGTTTGACGCGATTAAATTACCGCTTGTTTTCGCACATTCACCACTTGAAGTACCACCTCAACATAATTAATAATACCTAATTCCTGGTTGGTGCAAACCGTAACGTAATATAATACAAATGTGCAAAGCTCTTTGCTACAACAACAAGCGGTTCAGCTTAACGCACACTGATCCTTGTTGGAGCAACGCACAATGTTATAGTTCCATTAACATACAGAGCTCTTTGTTGGAACAACGGGTTGCTTATCGATCGGAAAATTAATCCTTCATTCGTGGAAGGCGTCAACGAGGAGGGGACCTCCGCTCGGGACCATAATTCAATCTGTCATCTGATCCGAGTTTGATTCGCATTATCACCGAACTTGGCGCAAATATATATGATAGGGAAACGCGAGAAAATGTGACGTCAATTGACAGCCGTGGCACGATGGTCGAGAGTCGTTAAATCTAGTTTCTTGAAACAAAACATCGAGGAGATGCTGCAGCCTCGGCCGATCGATCGTACGATGATGTTTATGTGAAATTGACGCGGGCACTTGATAATACGCATAGCAATTTACCGCGTTCGAACGCGTTGCAAGAAGCGCTTGGAGATCTTTCGCAATTCTCGAATAATCATCCTTACGATAAATTAGACAATTCTCGTAACTAATCGAATTTTATTTTGCAATTTAAGTTGCGCGATCTTTAATTTTCGCAGTTTTATTTTCGGCTAGCATCATGTATTCGAAAGAAATGTATTAATCAACATAATGCAAATTGAATAGGTTTCAGTTATAATTAGATTAAATGAATTGTATATAAAACGCTTAATGTATAATGTACATTTGTTTTAATGTAAATGTTTTTATTTATGCAACTTTGTAATAAATTAAAGTTTCGATAAATTAGTCTTTTTTCTATATTAAGAAAATATGTATATTTTTATTTCCTATAATTACAAATCACCAATAGAATTCATCGGAGAACAGGAAGTAAAATAGATCCGTTTATCTTTTTGACTTCTAATTTAGTTTCTAACGCAAACAAACAAGCTCAAGAGATGTCAATCATATTATTATATCGCACGTTTTAGTGTGTTTGCCAGTGAGAGTAAAACGATTTGATTAATTTTGGCAAGCGTGGGACGATTGCGTTTTGTAGAATATTTGTTAGAAAAAGTCTATCTCTTCAAGGTTAAATAAATCTCCATATTTCAAATAATATTAATCTTTTTAGAAAAGTATTTTGAATATTTTGCATTACTATTGTTATTAGTAATAATTTAAAAACAAAATAATTAACATTTGACAAATGAAAATACAAAATCTTTCTTTAGATTTATGTCTTTGTTTATAATGAAAGATCGACAAAATTGAATAACAAGATTGAGTATTGGTATTTACCATGAAAATTTAAAGTTAGCAAGAGAATTTATTGCAAATATTACGAAACTTATTATAAAATTCCGTGCATTGATTTTATTACAGGAAGTATGTTAAAACAGGATTCTGACAAAAGATCTCGCGGACTTTTCCTTCATTTATAAGAGCACTCTCTGTAGTATCCAATTATTGGAAATGGCTTCCCTCGGTTATGATCGCGCGCAATATTCGCGATTGCAGCTTTTAGTGCCATTGAAACCGTTAAATATCGATATCATGGACCATCTATTAATAAATTGAAATCTCATACGTGAAAATTGCATTTGCCATGTAAGTTTACTTACTGTTAAGTTATTGTCCACATTTCTCCTCAAGCTGCAATTATTCGATACATTGATTTTAATTTGCTCTCGATTTATTTACAATTCTTTTCTAATTATATAAACAATTATCGTTTGGATATTTAATTTCACGCGATAATTTGATGTTTACTACTGATTATAGCAATATTGTCGCGTACGCGTAAGCAATTTTAAATGTTAACTTAAATAATTAATGATTAATTTGACATTTAAAAAAATACAACACATTTGCTTGATAAGCGTTAAAATCACTACACTTAACCCAATCCATTTGCATTATGCATCAAATGACGAAGAGGAAACGACAACGAACTGAAATCGAATGAACTTGACAGCGCCAAGAAATGCAGATAAGGCTGCTTGGGTCGAAAACAAAGTTATTTATCACAAGCACAGTTATTTATCACAACCAACGTTTTCCTCGTTTATCTCTTATTAAAATGAAAGAAAATTGAATAATCTTTTAAATTCTGTTTCGAACAGTTTCCTAAACTTTGCGCAACTTCAAGATGCAATAGTTCGTATCTTTTTCTTTTTTTTTGCTACGCTGATCATACATACATTTTTTATGTGCATAATTACAATTTCTTGTTTTTTATATAATATATAAAATTGCCTTACAAAGAAATTATAGAGATAATGATTGATCGCGATTTTTTTTATCTGCTACGCAGAGAGCGTTAATGGCGTGCTAGGAAGAGCGCATCCGATGATGTATTATCGGAACGTATTATAAATCGGCTGTGTGGTCACCCTTAGATTATTTTCCGGGAAATGCGACGCGTCTCATATTCAAGCGGACCGTTCATCATCGCAAAACACATTCAATCGCATAAATCTCGATGACGATCTACTTCGAAACTGGAGCGAACTCGCTCATATACAGTCGCATGATGCATGCGACGATCATCATAAATTTTAATCCGGACCCGCACATCTGGCGTCACCTGTTGCATCGTGATTTCGCAAACTTCGAGAAAACGATTTTTAACTCGCTCTATTCTGGATTATTGGACATCTCACAATATCGTGACTTTTATTCCCCTTATGTTTATAACTTAATGGCAGGATTAATTTATGCTAAACCAATTCTTTTTCGCAAATATATTTTGTACATTGGATAGTCAAGCGCGCTTAAAATGTTTATTACATAGAAATACGTGTGCGTAGAGAAAAATCTATACCTAAATATTATTGAAATTTATTTAATATTAATCAAGCAATCAAAGACGAGCAAATTAAAAGGTGTAAAAAAAATTTTATTTCATTAATTTTTTGACATTAAGAAGAAACTAGTTTTGAACCTTATTACGGTCTTTATTAATCTCAATTTACATTAATAAATTAATCTTTCATATTGTGTAGTCAACACATTGCGCAATAATTAGGAGGAGAAATAATAATTAAAAAGTTGATATAAACCGAAGTCATGTGATCAGATCATTAAGCGTCAAGCGAAGACTAGGATAATAAAAAAACAGCCATCAAGTTAAAGCACGTCACACAGGCATCGCATTGAATTTGAAGCTTCGCGCGGGCACGTCTCCACATTCCTCAACGTTAGAAAAAATTGACAATAGACAATTGTCATATTACAAATCCGATTGTGGTAAACCAATTCACAATGTACGTCAGTCGATGTCTAATAACGGAAACGGAAACGGACATTATCAATGCGATGCTGTATGACTTGCTTTAACTTGATGACTTTATATTACCCTGGTCTCCGCTTGACGCTTAATGATTTGATCACGTGACTCCAGTTTTGGTTTATATCAACTTTTTAATAATTATTTATTTTTTAAACTATTGTATAATGCATTTACATAAGCAGGATTAATTTATTAATGTAAACTGCAATTAATAAAGATCTAGTAAGATTCAAAACTAGTCTCGCTTTTTATAATGTTGGAAAATTAATGAAATAAAGTTCTTTTTAAACTTTCTCATCTTGCTCAGTTTGCTCATCTTTGGCCTCTAATTTATATTAGATAATTGTTTTACGAGCTGGAGAGTGATTTTTGTTTTATTGAAATTGATTTTGAAATATTTATTGTATATTATATATTGTATCGTTTTACCTGTAGAAATGCATGCCACGATAGAACACACTTCCTTGCACTCGTGTTGGCTCCTTTGATTCACGGTATGCCATCACTTGTGTATCTCTGTTCATTCACTGCAATAAAAATAAAATGAGAATGAAGGCCAAACGTTAATCTTGTGACAGCGCCAATTTCCCGTGACATGAATCATTGTTTTAAAAATATGTGTAGCGTGTGTGTATCGTTTCTATAATAGAATAACAATACCTTGTAGGATGGGACTCTGCGTACGATTTTTAATTTCTATTTTTACTCTCGTTTCCTGGACGCGAAATCGTTCTATATAGTCATCGTAAATTTGATCCGATTCGCAAAAATTAACCGCGCAATTATTGCGAAATTTTATTTCGACATTTTAAACGATATTTTATTTCGCCGTTGTCCCGTCTGTAACAAACTAATCCTTCACTTTTTTTGCACAGTTTTACAACTATCAATATGTAGCAACGACTATAAAATTCGACAAAAATAAAAAAATAACACGTACTGCATCACACGGTCGTGCACAGTTGTCTCTGTATTTTATTCTTTATCACTATCTATATCGCGAGATCGGAACGTCACATCGTGCCGGGGAAAAAGCCGAACTCGATTTGGCGTGGAAATGTCGAATAGCCCCTCGAACCTAGCGCGTGCCGAAGACATCCATGGTGGGAGTTTCGCGCCAGCGCGAAGATCTCGACCATCTATTATCTATACATTCGCACCGTATCACCATGTGATACTCGATCTATGGGGATTTACAAAAATATTTTATCTAATAACTTGCAAATAGATATATTGTTTATCTTTATATAACTTCGTATTATTATAGTAAAAGTAGAATATTCTATGTTTTATTAAATTTACATAACAAAACTGGGACAGCACCGAGTCTGTAAAAGCAATTTTCATTTATTTAACATTAAAAAAATGTGAATATAAATTCCAGAATGGTGTGTATTAAAAGTTATATTTGTTAATTTTAAAAAATTTACATAAATTTTGCGAACGCGAATAACTTTAATTTAATGTCAAATTTTGTTACGCACATCCGAGAGAAGAGAATTTTGACAGAAAAGTCGAGAACGTAACGCGCAGAAACGCAATCGTAGAAATCCTGGCGGGCGCTTTAATCGTAAACTTTAATACGTAAACACCTGCTGCGTTTGCGGGATCTAAAGTGACGTAGTAAAGGGAAATTTACGGCGAGGATAAAGTTAAGCTCTCCTCGCTGTCACGCAAAATCACGCGGATATCTCATTCACTCGAAAACTTCCGCTTTTCCCTCCTTGTAATAGCGCTTAATTGCCAATTTCGACGTTTCCTCAATAACGTAATTTTTCATTAACGACTTTCCTTCCATTCTTTTGTGTCGTCGCATCCGGTCAAATGGCTTTTAAAGAATTCCCTTCGACGTCGCGCAAGTACCTATCTTACACGGTTGACCTTTTTCTCCGTTTAAGCTCGCCGCATCTTTCGCATTCGTCGGACTTCTACTTCGACGCAACAAAGTGCATTTTCTGGGTCGATTAACAGCCATTCTCTTCAGGAAATTAAAAGTCATTCAATATGACGCGTATTTACGCATGAAGTATTTACATAAAGTGGTAGCCTTTAAGATTAAATTATTTTCATTATTTATCTCTTTATACAAACATTATTGCGAATGATTAAAAAATAATAGTTAAACTTTACAGTATCTTGAAAGTATAAAAGCCATTCTTGGACGTAGAACTCTAAAGAGAAGTATCATAAATTAAATTTCAAAAACCCTCGTTAAAATTATTTATGTTTATGTAAATAATATGTAATTTTTACACGTTGATATAATATTATTTGATTTAATTTCCATTAAAGAGAAGATATAGTATATCCTTATATATGTATATTAAATACATACGTGTAATAAAGTAGTTGACTTTAATATTGCCTATTTGTTATTCATTTACAAATTCGTTTCAGAATTTTAAGATTCTATCTATGCACAGATGACTATTTTCTTTCCAATTAATCTCTTGTTAAATATTTAATTGGCTAAGATATCGCACTATAATCTCTTCTTAAATATTTAACTGACAAGCTAAGACTATTATAATTTTTCGATTCTTTTCCGCTGATAAAGTTTAAAAAAAATTTGCGTGCAAAACTTAGATAATAAGCACTATCAAGCTAATACTAAGCACTTCCGTCGGCTAAAAGATTAATTGTGCTCCTTTATTAATTTAATTTCAGCAATTGTTCTTTCACAAGAGGAAAACGAGAGACTAAGACGACTCGGTACATAAAGCAGATTACACGGAAAAGGAAAATTTATTTGATCAAGCTCGAGGGGAGAGACCCTGCAAATTGAAGAGATGCGAAATATGCGTATTTATACTACGCACTAGATATGCGTGGCGACGCGCCCTACCGATGCAAATTTTATTCGCTCATTTCGCGTAACCTACGTGCACTATCCTGTTTTCTCGTTCCTTTCTTATTGTTTCTATTATTCACCCCCCCGCCCCCTCAGTAATATCCACCTGAACTTCCACCGATTCCCTCTTTATATATACCACCAGCGCACTATCGTTTATTTGCAAAAGAAAAGACAAAATCCACCCAAGGATGTACTGAATAGAAACTATTCATTTAGCTTAGAGTATTATATCGACAAAACTTTTTACGGGAATAGAATTTACACTTTTTTCACGCGGATGGATTGAATTTATTTACAAATAGCCTAAGTCACAGGTAGTATTTCTCGATTTCATGAAAGTTGCAATTTCATATAAATTGCATATATTAATAATTCATATGTAAACTGTAATGCATAACCGAATTAATTATCGTTTTAATTATCGTTAAATGACCATTTTCATATTATCTATTCATGTTTCATCGCTCGTTACATTAAAATTCAGGATCTAGCTTATTATCAAAATGTGTTTGATTTGTTAATTAAATGTAAGTTGAAATAAGAGAGAGAGAGAGAGAGAGAGAGAGAGAAATATATAACTTCCCTCTAAAATGATTTAAATCACATTGTACATTTTAGACGTAGCGAAAAATCATCACGCCTTGCTATTTCTCGTTTTACAGCTTTGAAAGACATGAACTTCAGAATAGTCGACACTAAAATAAAATTCCAAAATAGTTTTATGACGTCTTATGCTTGACGCCGTCGAGCGATGTGATCCTCGAGAGCCATTCATTGGGTTGTAAGGAAAATTACGAGGGAAACTTTCACGAAAGCTGTAGACGCGACATAGTCTCGACAAACGTCAGAATCGCTATTTCCGTAATTTGAAATGACATTTCGTGATGCAAAAGAGAGGAATATATATATATATATATATAGATTCATTTATTTTCTTTTCTATATCGTACCAACATTTATTGC